TCAGCAGTGTACTTCAGTTCTTCTGCCTGCTCTGCTTCCCGCTCTGGCTCTGGTGAATTCTCTCACCCTGCTGCGCTTCTGACTGTACCCAGTGCATGTATAAACAAAACAAACAAACAAATAAATAAAACATGCCTCTATTAAAAAAAAAAAAAACAAAAAAAAGAATTTTAAAGATTGATTTATTTATCCATATAAGAGCTGGGGTACAGGCCAGACATGTGGTGGGTGAGAGGATTGACCAGAGATAGAGTGGGAAGCAGAACAGGCAGATCTGGTGAAATACACTTTACTAAGGGGAGCAGCAGGGAGACAGGAGAGGTCAGGTGTGCCGTGTGGGTGAGTTCACTGACTGGGGATGGAACTCATGCTGCAGGGGCTGCGGATAGCTTCATAGTGCTTTGTCTTGACCCCTCGCTTCACCAGGGAGGCCCCATGTTGCTGTATTAAGTCGGGTGGAATTTCTTGAGGATTTTCGCTTCTGTGTTCTTTGGTGCTGTTGGTCTATTTTTCCCTTTTATGCTGTCTCTTTTTTTGGGGGGGATGAGGGCAATGTTGACCTCATCGTATGTGTTGGTGAGTTTTCCTCCATCTTCAGTGTTTTGGAAGATGCAAATTTCTTTGTGTTTGCTTCTGTCATGGTCTCTCTGATGATTTCTTTTCCGTGTCCCTGAGTGCTTGAGTATCTTGTGCTCCTGAATGTAGCTAATCCCTGTGTTCCGATCTGGTCTCCCGTCTTCAGTCTGCACTTCTGCTGAGTGAGTCAGTCAGCTGTGTTTTGCCCTTTCTGCCAGTTACACTTGAGCGTGGGCCTCTGCCCCATCCTACTACCACAGGCTCGTTTCCCACCTGACTGCACTTGTAGACATCCTGATGGCAGCTGCCGCTCATGCAACATGCAAACCTCGTCCTGTGTTGTGCCCTCCCGTGGGGAATGAGATCCTTCTCAGCCCAGGTCTCCCGCCAGCAGAAAGGGATTTCTCTATTCCAGAGTTTAGTCTCACCCAATGCAAGTTTCTCTTCAGTATTACCTGATACCTTAATGGTTGCTAAGAACAGCACCACTGTGTGTGTGTGTGTCTGTGTGTGTGTGTTTCAATTCACATTACAGTTCTCATTCTTGGCCAAACCTGATGGATGCAATTTCTCAGTGATGAGGTTGCTCCCTTTTCTACCTCCCACTGGCCAGTGTGGTGACACCTCAGAGTTCAGGGGGAGACATTACTCAGGGGTCAGTAAATGTAGTTTTTAATAAGGAGCTTCACATATCTGTCATTGAGTCTGGAATAAAGTAGGTGTGTGCATTAGTCATACATATGATTCTTGCTGAAGTTATCGTTAATGGTAGATTTTCTTTTTAATTTTGATAGAATGTTTATAGAATATTGTTAGAAAGAATATATTTTACAACCTAATTTTAGCAGCTTTCCTGTCACTTGTGACCATGCAGGTGTTTCATTTTATAAACCTTTGCACTGTGGGGAGCAGTAGTGGCTGCTCTTCTGCCCATCGTGACTGTTGCTTCCTTTTTCTCCTTTTCCTACTAAACCTGGCCCTCTATTTATTCATTCATTCATTTATTCATTCATTCATTTTTTAAAAGATATACTTATTGTTGCATACAAAAACTGGGGTATGGGCCAGAGGTGTGCGGGGGTGGGGTGGGCAGGATTCACCACCAGAGACAGAGTGGGGAACAAAACAGGCAGACTGACTGAAATACATTGACGAGAGTTGCAGTGGGCGAGTCAGGAGAGGGCTGCTGCGTCATGTGGGTAGCTCTCTGGCCGGGGATTGAACTCGTGCTTGCATTGGCTGCGGACAGCTCCATTGGTTGTGTCTTAACCTTTAACCACCAGGAAAGCCCCTGAATTTTCATTTAAATGTAAAATAAAAAGTCTCCTTTTGCTGTTATTGAATGTGGTGTTCTTTGGCATTTTGTATCTGACAGTGTTATTCAGCCGCCACCACCTTCCAGATTTTTTCATTTCCCAGTAATAAAATACTGCACTCATGAAACTTTCGCTCCCAACTGCCCTGTCCCTCAGCCCCTGTGTCCACCATTTACTTTCTGTTTTCAAGAGTTTGACCACTCAGACCTGTATAACTGGAGTCTTGTTACACCTTGTTTTCTTGGTGAATCTCTTATTTTATTGCATAATTAACTGTTTTGTCATTTCATAGGTATTGTACAGGAGTCCCTTCATATTGTAGTGTGTGTCATTGTCTAGTTCCATTGTGAGACTCATTAATACTCTCTTATGTGTAGCTACCAGTCTTATTTATCCATTAATCCATCACCTGGGGCTTGGGATGATTTTTGCTTTGGGCTGTTATGACTGGTGGTGCCGTGACCGTAGGTGAGCAGACGTCTCTGCCCGTCCCTGCTGTCCCTGCTATAGGGGAACACCCGGGGGTGGGGGTGGGTCCTCCTGTCATTCTGAATTCCCTTTTCCCAAGAATCACCTTCCTGTCTTCCCTCCTGGCTGCATCATTTATGTTTGCCCTAGCAGTGCGCAAGGGACCCAGGTCCCAATTTTTGACAGTGCTTGTTCTTTTCTTTCTTTTTAAATCATTGCGATCCCAGCGGATGTAAAATCTCATCTCTTGTACTTCTGATTCATTTTTCCTTCGTGACCGGTCGTATTGAGCACGTTCATGTGTTAGGACCTGCCTGTGTATGTGATTTGCAGAGCTGTGTGTTCCAGTCCTTTCCTCGTGGCTACGCATTTCCATTTTGAACGGGTCGAAAGCGCGAGGGGATTGTATTGTCCCATTTCGTCATACAGTGCTTTTATGGCATCCTGAGCCCACTCCTGCTGGGAGTTCCCGGGTGTTTTCTGTGCACAGAAATGAGTCATCCACCTTCTCTCTACTCTTGTTTCATTTCTTGTATTAGCGTTTTAATCAATGAGCCTATAAAGAAGAATGCATTTTTGTTTTCCTAGACCTGGGATGTGCCGGGTTACCTTGCGAGAGTTGCTGTCAGTGCAGCAGGCTAATCGTGTCCTGGATGCTGTTGTGTCTTTGCATTTGTTTACTTCATTGTTTAACCCTCTGGATTTGTTCATCCCAGGGAGTCTCTGCCCTTGGTTCCGCTACATGCATTGCTTACTGTTGTCATTTCCCTGGCAGCGTACAGGAGCTCCTGTGTGTGTGAACATGGGTGTGTGTTATACTCACAGTCTGCTCACTGGGTTTTCCTTTCCAGAGTTGCTTTACTGTGGCTTTCATTAGTTTTCCAAGAATGAATTATAGGGCCTCCCCTCGTGGCGCAGTGGTTGAGCGCTGGTTTGCAAGGCTGCACAGAGCCTCTTCAGCGCCAGTTCGAACCTCGGACACCGGTGAGGGTCCCACCAAAAAAAAAAAAGAGAATGAATTATTACTTGCTATGACCATTTTTACGCATGTTGTCTTTCTGTTGTTACTGTTGTTGTGTAGCATCACCCGAACCCATTGTGAATAAGGGGACCCTGAGTATCTTTGTTAGTCCTTCTCTCACTGGGAATGTTGATGTCGCCTGTGGCTGTGTCAACGACTTGTTTTGTGTTGAGGAAAAACCCTCTCAATCCATTTTTTAGTTATTACAAATAGAAATTTATTTTTATGGGGTCCTAATCAATATGTGTGTGGAGGTATGCAAGATTTTCTACACAGGAAATGAAATGACGGAATCAATTTACAGATTTCCTAAGAGGTTTGTTTTCTTATATCTAGCGTCATGTTTTCCAAAAGTCTTTCATTGCTATGATCTATTTTTTTTCTTTCTCCAACAGAAATATTAGTCTCTTCTAGTTGTTTTTCCTCTTCTTTCAATACCTTTTGTTCTGGTCACCGTGTTCCCCCCTACGGTGATGAAAACTATTAATAATATCCTGAGAATTCCTAAATTCTTTTTTTTTTTTTTAGATTTATTTATTTTATTTATGCACATAGTGCTCAGGTGTAGGCCACATGTGCAGGGGGTGAGAGGATTCATCAGAGTCAGAGTCAGGAGTGGAACAGGCAGACTGACTGAAATACACTGGTGAGGGGAGCAGCAGAGAGACAGGAGAGATCTGCTGCGCCTTCTGGGTAGCTCCGTTGTTGGGACTTGAATTCTTGTTGCAGTGGCTGCCGATGGCTTCATAGTGCTGAGCCTTAAACCCTTGTGCCACCAGGGAGGCCCTGATTCCCACATTTCTGTTCTCAGCTTAGAGTTCCTGATGCATCACACACATGTCCAGTTGCGTGTGGAATTCCAGTGTCTTCCAGCCCGTCATGCGGACAGCATATTAGGAAAACATTCCTCGTACCTCAGCCACCGAGTTATTGCTGAGTTCTCCTCCCCTTTGTCCTTCCATTTTAGAAGTGATGACCTGTTCTGTCTTCTCTGACTCTGTCAGCTGAACATCTTTTCTTAAAATTTTATTTTATATATAATTTGCATCATTTTTTATTTTGCACAATGTATGCATTTTCATCTTGGTTATAGTCACCGACAATTCCTACCCCCCTTATTTTAACCCTAATCCCTCCTCCCTCCACCCCCCAAAACCCCCGGTTTGAGAAACCCCATCTCTGGTTTATAGTTGCTTGTAGTTGAACATCTCTTACCTGTGCTTTTCCCCCCCTCATTGTTTGAACATTCTGGTTTCGGGTTCAGTTTTTGTTTACTGTGAGTTGGAGATCCCAGGCTTTGAGGTCACAGGAGTAAAATATTGGCACAAACTTGTACATGCTTTTCATTTGTTACGAAGCTCCTTTAGCACATGCTTCCAGGTATGTGTCTGTTACACCTGCCAACCAGGTTATCAGCTCCTCAAAGAGCAAAATTTATTCATCTTTTTGTTCTTAGAATCATAGACACTTTCAAATTGATAAGGCAAGCTATAGTTCTGCTTTAAGGACCGAACTGGTGAATGTGGAGGCGAGGCTCTTTCAACTGCGAATTCTATACATCCTATATAGGACCAAAGACCCACAAAATAAGATGTTTGCACTTGCTCTGTCTGACCCAGGCTGCCGTCCCGGAGATGAGAAATGTTCCCTCCGAAGGGACAGTGTCATTTGAAGACGTGGCTGTGAACTTCACGTGGGAGGAGTGGCAGTGCCTGAGTGAAGCTCAGAGGACCCTGTACTGGGATGTGATGCTGGAGACCCGCAGTCACCTGGTGTCCCTAGGTGAGGAAGCGCCAGTGTAACACCCTAGTGCACTGCTGTCTTCTGCACCGATAAGTGTGCACTTCCTTATGAAACTGAGTGCTGGTGAGGTTGAACATGCAGGCAGTGTACATTGTGGGTGTTTCGGTTTTTGTTTTTTTGAAGGAAAGATTCAGATAGGCCTCTTTTGCACAGCTCTTCACACTACATTTGTTAGTTTTCTTTTTTTTTAATAGAGGCATGTTTTATTTATTTGTTTGTTTGTTTTGTTTATACATGCACTGGGTACAGTCAGAAGCACGGGAGGGTAAGAGAATTCACCAGAGCCAGAGCGGGGAGCAGAGCAGGCAGAAGGACCGAGGTACACTGCTGAGGGGAGCAGCGGGCGGCAGGAGAGGTCTTCGCGCCATGTGGGACCCTCCTCTGGTGGCTGGGGAGCAGCCGGGGATCGAACTGGCGCTGCAGCTTCCCAACCCAGCGCTCAACCCCTGCGCCACCGGGGAGGCCCACATTTGTTATTTTTCAAAGACTGAAGTTGAACTTGATAGAAGACCAACACTGTTTCTTATCACAGGGCATTGTGTTCCCGATCCTGAGGAGAGCATCAGGTCGGAGCAGGGAGTGCAGCTGTGGTCTGTGGACGATCCCCCAAACCAGGACCTCTCAGGTCAGTCAGTGCTTGCCAGGCCGGGAGGCTGAGAGGATGCTGGGAGTGTGGCCATGTTATTGGCCACAGTGAGGTGCTTTCCCATTGTGCAACCTCGGACAGTGTGTCTGCATATATCAAACTGATTCTTTTTTTTTTTTCTTTTTCTTTTTTTTAAAGATTTATTTATTTATTTATACAAGCATGGGGTACAGTCAGTCAGATGCGCGGGAGGGCAAGAGAACTCACCAGAGCCAAGTGGGGAGCAGAGCAGGCAGAAGGACCAAAGTACACTGCTGAGGGGAGCATGGGGCAGCAGGAGAGTTCTGCGCATCATGCAGGACCCTCCTTCGGTGGCCGGGGAGCAGCGTGGGATCGAACTGGCGCTGCAGAGGCTGCGGGCAGCTTCGCAACCCAGCGCTCAACCGCTGCGCCACCGGGGAGGCCCTCAAACTCATTCTTTATTCAGTTCCCAAATACGGCTCTCTCATGCATTTCCTCCTGCTCTTTTTATGGTGGTTGTCTGTGTTCTTAAACCAGTCTGCAGTCCCTGATACTGTGGGGATTATTCTGTATTAATCACGTTTCTGTATTCTCTCAGTGTATTCTCACAGACTGTTTTCTTTAGGTACCTGTTCAGGAATTTTTTTATTTCTGTGTGTTCATGGAAAGTTTAGCCAGTGGGAAATTTTCTATGCAAGGGGAGAGCAACAGTACTCACAGAAATGATCTTTGTTTTCTGAAGTTATACACTCTGTGAGGAAAGAATGTATAATAAATATATTTATTAATAGAGAGGTAAAGACACAGAGGATGTTTGACCAGCATGAGTGAAACAAAGTGGAGGATGTTGTTTTTGTGTGTGTGCTCCATACGCATCATTATGGAGATTACTTCTTTTCTGTCAGAGCTCAGGTGAGGTGAATGGCTTGCACTGACATGTCATATCTATTGTTCCCTCTGCAATCTGGCCTAGTGGCTGTCTATTGCTATTGGACATGTCACTTTGCAGGTGACCAACTCAAAAGGGATAGAGGGGCGTTGACTGGAGAGTTATTTAGAACATGAGTAGTGTTTCAGGGGCAAGCATTGTGACCGCCCACATAGTAAATTGTGAGGCTGAGGAGGACCCAGAAATTGTTCATCATTGGAAGGGATGTTCTGTTACATGGGAGGGGGAACCTGAGGTGGTGGTGTCTAAAGCCATGGCACCAAGAGTTTGAGGTTGAGGGCTCATACCTTGGGGAGCAGTGTGACCTGTGCAATTCCACCTTGTCATGGGAATTGTTGGGAGGAAAGTAAAGGAAACAATGACAGTGTGATGTAGCTGAGAGTCACACACGACATAGAAACTGGAGTTACTGTCAACAAAGTAGAAACGCAGGTTCCAAGCAGTGCGGTGAGAACTCCAGGATGTTACTCTCAAAAGCATGTGGGAAAAGCCTTTAACGCTGATAACCACAGGGTGGATGCAGAACTTTTTTCCTGTTGCTCAGCAGGGAACGTGGGACACAATGATGAGCGGAGTTTGCTACATGTGTTAGGATTCTGAGCCTTATGCGATATATTTAAATAAGAACTGACAGGTCTCTGCCATGGAGGGAAGTGCATGCCTCTGAGAACCTCTGCAGGTGTCGTCGCCAGGGCCAGGGTGGAAAGAAAAACTAAGGAAATGGAGAAGCAGAGTCCTTGTGTCTCAGCAGGCCTCTTGCTTAAAGTGCCTTGGCAATGACTGGGTCACTCAGTCCACAGATTTCTGGGAAAGCCATGGCCTCTGCAGGGCTTGGTTATTCAGAAAGTACCTGCAAGAGCTGCACAGGGTCAGTCTAACAAAGAAAGTATGTAGGATCTATGTTGGGTGAAATGCTTCTGGTTGAAATCGACTACTGTAGTTAAAGGACTGTTTTTACCAAATATTTATGGTTTTATAAAACCATGGTGAAATTAGTTTTACTGCTTTGTTATCCTGGTTTGGCATTAGAAAATCTGTTAATTGGGGCCTCCCTGGAGGCCTAGAGATTAAGTCTCTTAGCTCTCTCTATTATGGCCTGAGTTTGATCTACAGTGAAGGAGCTCACCCACTTTGGCACAGCAGACCTCTCCTGTCTCACCCGCTGCTCCCCTCAGCAGTGTATTTCAGTCAGTCCGCCTGTTCTGTTCCACACACTGTCTCCACGCTCCCCTACAACACCCCCACTCCTGCACCTCTGGCCTACACCCCAGATCTTCTATGCTAAAATACAAAATACCAAGAAATCTGTTCTCCCCATAAGTTGCTACAGGCAAAAAGCATGAATCAGAGAATCAATACCTGTAAATTGTGTTGTAATATAGGAGCTTTTGTGCTGCTTAGTAGTATTCACTCAAAAGGCTTCCTTTTTAGAGACATGGTCACTTTTTTCTCACTTTAGATGTCCATACTGGGGATCACCTGACTCACGACAGCCCTGCAAATCAGGGCAGACATGTGTGGCAAGTTCTTACCGCCAGCAGAAAAATACCATCCAACGAGAGAACTGACTTAATGGAAAAAAGCAATTTGGACTTAATTCATTGTTTGAACCATAATATCAAAAATGGAAACAATTCAGCAATGACGCCTGAGAACGTTACTATACATAGGACCATAATGATCCCTGGTGAGCCTCATGAAGAGCATGCTGGAGAGAACAAGGAGGTCTTTAGTAGAATGAGGGAACCCATCAAGTATCCTAAGCACCTTAGTCACCAGGTGATTCAGAACTTTCAACAACCTTTTGCATTTCGTGAACAAGGAAAAGTCTTAAGTGAAGAAACAGTATTTACACCTAGAGGAGCCCTTCCTGAAGGGGCTGCCCGTAAATGCAATGAGTGCAGGGACACCCGTGATGAGGCACCTTTTGTTGTCCGAGACAGAGCCCAAGGGGCACAGACTCCCTGCAGTTGTAATGAAAAGGGGGGAGCTGCGAAGAGGACTCCAGAGCTTTTGAATCCTCCTAGATATGTTGAACACGAGCAGCAGGAATGTTATAAAAGTGGGGCCAGTCTCAGCAACACATTTCACACCTATCCGCATGAGAGTACCCAGTTAGGGCAGAATAATTTTGGATATAAGAGATATGGTGAAGTGGCCTCTAAAACCTCTGTTCTGACTGAACATCAGAAATCACAAGCAGACGATCAACCTGATGAGTGTGGGGGCACCTCTGAGATTTCCTTACAGAGGGGATACCAGAGAAATCTCACTGCAGTGAAGTTGTTTGGCTCTAACGATCACGTGAAAACTTTATCATGGAAGACTGCCCTCACTGTACATCCCCAATCTCAAACGGGAGTGAAGCGCTACCCGTGTCTGGTATGTAAGAAAACTTTCAGGCACAAATCTGCTTTTAGTGTCCATCAGAGAACTCACACAAGGGAGAAACCCTATGAATGTCGGGTGTGCAGGAAAGTGTTTTCCTGTAAGTCAGTTCTTGTTCTACATGAGAGGACTCACACTGGAGAGAAACCCTATGAATGTGAAGGGTGTGGAAAAGCTTTTTCTAGTAAGTATTACCTCAGTGAGCATCAGCGAATTCACAGTGGAGAGAAGCCTTTTGAATGTCAAGAGTGTAGGAAGACTTTCTCCTGGAAATCATCCCTCAGTCACCATCAGAGAAGTCACACTGGAGAGAAACCCTATGAATGTGAAGGGTGTGGGAAAGCTTTTTCCAGTAAGTATTACCTCAGTGAGCATCAGAGAATTCACACTGGAGAGAAGCCTTATGAATGTCAAGAGTGTGGGAAGACTTTCCGCCAGAATTCATCCCTCAGGAAACATAAGAGATGTCACACTGGAGAGAAGCCTTATGAATGTCAAGAGTGCAGGAAGACTTTCTACCAGAAATCGTCCCTCACTGAACATCAGAGACTTCACACTGGTGAGAAAAGCTATGATTGCGAAGGGTGTGGGAAAGCTTTTTCTACTAAGGCACACCTCATTAGACATAAGAGAAGTCACACTGGAGCTAAACCCTATGAATGCGAAGGGTGTGGGAAAGCTTTTTCCAGTAAGTATTACCTCAGTGAGCATCAGAAAATTCACAGTGGAGGGAAGCCTTATGAATGTCAAGAGTGTAGGAAGACTTTCTCCTGGAAATCATCCCTCAGTCACCATCAGAGAAGTCACACTGGAGAGAAACCCTATTATTGTGAAAAGTGTGGGAAAACTTTTTCTAGTAAGTCACACCTCCTTTTTCATCAGAGAAGTCACACTGGAGAGAAACCCTATGAATGTGAAGAATGTGGGAAATCTTTTTCTAGTAAGTCATCCCTCACTGTCCATCAGAGAAGTCACACTGGAGAGAAACCCTATTATTGTGAAAAGTGTGGGAAAACTTTTTCTAGTAAGTCACACCTCATTACTCATCAGAGAATTCACACTAGACAGAAACTGTATGAATGTGAAGAGTGTGGGAAAGCTTTTTCCAGTAAGTATTACCTCAGTGAGCATCAGAGAATTCACAATGGAGAGAAGCCTTATGAATGTCAAGAGTGTGGGAAGACTTTCCACAGGAAATTATCCCTCAGTAGTCATCAGAGAAGTCACACCGGAGAGAAACCTTATGAATGTCAAAAGTGTAGGATGACTTTGCAGCGTAAATCATCCCTCAGAAACCATCAGAGAATGCACACTGGAGAGAAGCCTTATGAGTGTCAAGTGTGCAGGAAGACTTTCCACCTGAAATCATTACTCACTGAACATCAGAGACTTCACACTGGTGAGAAACGCTATGATTGCAATGAGTGTGGGAAAGCTTTTTCTACTAAGGCACATCTCATTAGACATCAGAGAATTCACACTGGAGAGAAACCCTATGAATGTGAAGGGTGTGGGAAAGCTTTTTCTACTAAGACAGATCTCATTAGACATCAGAGAAGTCACACTGGAGAGAAACCCTATGAATGTGAAGGGTGTGGGAAAGCTTTTTCCAGTAAGTCTTACCTCAGTGAGCATCTGAAAATTCACACTGGAGAGAAGAAGACTTATGAATGTCGAGAGT